TTTCACTGTCCACTCTGTTCAAATGTGGATGAATGGTTACACATAGATGTGTCCAGAGCTGTGTGAGATCACTACCATGCTGCTTTTGTGGGGGTGGGTAGGGGTGTTAAATAATTATTTTTGTTTTGTTTTCCACCATAGGTTTTTAACATTCTAAAAGTTCTTTATTCCAAAGATACTACAAGCTAGTCAGTGTATTCAGCAGGTGTAATGTATTCTATGTTGCTTCAGAAGTATTACATACAACAATAAAACAGTGCATTGACATAAAAAAGGAAATTTACTTTTGGTACTTAAGTACTTTTAAAAGCAAGTACTTCTGTACTTTTACTTAAGTAAAAATCTATCTTTACAACTTTTACTTGTAATGGAGTAATATTTGACCAGCAGTATCTGTACTTTCACTCAAGTAATGGAGTTGTGTACTTTGTCCGCCTCTGCTTAGGACTATACATTATTTGGATAATTAGTCAAAACAACAACAACAACTTATGTCTGATTCTGTTACATAAAAGTGAATAAAAGTATAGTTTTCTTCTAGTCTTCTGATGACCGAGGGGAACGCGATCGCGATTTCTACCGAGGGCATGTGCACAGTCTTGCAGACTTACAATGGCCGCCCAGTGCACATGTGTAAAGTCCACAAGACCATAGGGTGTTCCATTCATCATTTTAGCTTTCAGAAGTGTACTTGCTATGCACCCTCAAAGCACATTTTTGCCAAGCCTGCACTGATGTGAGCTACACAGAAGACTTCTATCCAACAGTCAACATGGCATCATGCCACGAAAGTGTGGACTCCATGAGGAAGGCCATGAGGGTTTAGGGTGCGATTTGGGACAGGGCCTGTATAGGCTACAGTACACTTGAATTATTTATTTTTTCTTATTGAGTAATCAAATATAACTTTACAATCAGAATCAGAATTATAAAGGGCTTTATTGCCAAGTGTGTTTACACGCACAAGGAATTTGTCTTGGTGACGGTGCAAGGAAAAAGTACAGACATAGTGCAGACATACATGTAATGCAAAGTAATAACATGAAATATAACACTAATGATAAAGAGAATAGACAATAAAAAATATATATGGCAATAAAAATATAGAGAAAAATACCAAAAAAAAAACAGATTTATGACTATGTAAATGTGCCATTTATAGATTAACAGTTTTGAGAAGTTATGTACAGATGTGCAGTCCCGAGATGTTATGTGTTGTTCTGGTGGAATATGGCCTGAGGGAAAAAACTGTTCTTGTGCCTGGCTGTTTTGGTGGTCAGTGCTCTGTAGCTATAGTCAGGGTCCTATATGTGAGTTTTCCCAGCCTCACTAGCTGATGCCTGTCTGTCAAGAAGCTGGTAATCCACTGACAGATTTGGGAGGGCACTGAGAGCTGGGTCAGTTTGTCTGAGAGAAGATCAGGCACAATGGTATTGAAGGCCGAGCTGAAGTCCACCAATAAGATCATTGCGTAATTCCCAGGTCTGTCAAGGTGTTGCAAGATGTAATGCAGTCCCATGTTGACATCAATGGTCCAGTGATGTTCTTCAGGTAGGCAAAGACCAGTCTCTCAAATAACGTTTTAGTCACTAGTCACTCAGTATTAATCACAACAGCTTTCATAAATGTTATCATCAGATTTGTCTACCACACTTTTATTTTCTATAACATTCACATTGACATAGTCCTCTTCAGAATGATCAGAGTCCACATTAATATAGTCCTCTTCAGAATGATCAGAGTCCACATTAATATAGTCCTCCTCAGAATCATCATGATCCATGTTTTCACCAAGTTCTACATTTTCATAATCATCCTCATCATCTTCATTTTTGTTATCATGGGATGCACCTGCATATGTATTAGCTGCACCTACAGACATTGCATAGAGAGGGACAATTACAGGAAAATGATGAAGAAAAAAAGTGACTTAGGATGAAAGAGTTCAAAATAAAATAGAAGACATCATCTGACTTCTTTAATAAAACTCAAGTCTGTTACCTTTTGGAAAAGAGCACTTTGAATGAGTTTCCTTGTTCCTTTGCTTTTGTCTTCTCTTCAGCAGGAGGATGATTATGAGGACAGACAATAAGAGCAGCACAGCTGACACTGCAGCACCAATGACAGGAAGCAGGGAGGCTGAGAGAGACACACGTGTTTGAGTTTGAACTTTCATTACCAGCAGTCCAGCTTTGATTTAGACTCTTACACATCAGTACCTGTGATAGTGATGAGCAGCAGTTCAGAGGCAGATGAACGGAAGGAGCGTGAGGAGACACTGACTTCATAAACACAGCTGTAGTTTCCCTCGTGTGAATAATCTGCCTCAGGAAAGAAGAAGGAGGCAAAGTGACTGACAGCTGACTCAGTCCTGGTGATGTTTGATCCTCTGAACAGGTGAAAAGATCCTCCAGGATACTGAGATTGAGTTGAACAGATGATAGTGAAATTGTGGCCCCTGGTGATCACTGGCCCCTGAGGCCCCACGTCAAACCATCCATCAGGAGCACTGTGGTAAATACTGGGCTGCTGCAAGTTCACTAGAAAACAAGGAGAATACATTTATATGGTTACAGAGACTCAAACAATAAAACTTCTTTAAATAAATAAAAATGACTCCAAGAACTGTATCTTGTCAGGATCAAAAATACAGAATGAATTCACTTTCATGCAATTAATGCATGTAATTTATGATTCAACACACTCACCCACAGTAATGATAACAGTGTTGCTCAAAGGTGACTTGACAGTGTTGTTTTGGTAGGAGTAACGACAGCTGTAGCTGCCCTGATGTGAGACGTCTACATTAACAAGGTTGAAAGTCACACTAGATTCATGTGTCTGGGAGGATATAGATGCTCTGTTCATGAAGAGCTGGAATTTAGCATTAGCATTGCATCTTGGTTTAGGTGTTGTGCAACTGAACTGGATATATTCTCCAGGAGAAACAACTGCATGTGTGGAGGTCAGGGAAAGAGTCGGCATCTGCAGCTCACCTGCAAAATAAATGTTTATTTTAAATAATTGGTTAAGACATAATGTAATGTAAGCACGACATTCATGACGCTTAATGTAATTTTTGTTGGCTATTCCCCCATAATAATGTGTGAAGATGTTAAAGATTTGGCTTACCTGAACAAACAACACCAGCATCTTCATCATGTTTACAGTCATGTTTTCCTAGTCCACTGTGTGAACATTGTGTGAGGGCTCCTTCACTTCCTGAGCATTCAACATCATCCAGCCAGATCGATCCACTGCCTTGACTAAAGGCGGCTCCATGAGGTGCACTGATGGCTGATCCACACTGTGACTGTCTGCACACCACAGCAGCATCATTCATGTCCCAGTTATCATCACACACGGTTCCCCACTGGCCATTATAACGGATCTCCACTCTCCCACAGCATGAATCAGACCCACTGACCAACCTTATGTCTGGTACTTGGCATTAAAATGAAAGTACAATGTGATCAAAACATTTTTATTTTTGGCATGTTGTAAGTATTTTGTATGTGTTTGACATTGTTGGGAGCAAACCACCAAACATGCGTAGCCTCTGCTATTTTCACAAGTTTTCTTAAAGTTTATGTTGTTTTAATTGCAGTAGTATTATTTTTATTACAAGCAAGTAGCACATTTTCAAAACACCTCAAAATTTTAGACAACTAAATATGCTGGTAAAAAAATGTAACAAGAAAATGTTGCATAAAATATCAAGGTGAACAGCAAAAGCATAATTTGAAAGCATACGTACTTTTACCTAAGCAGACGACACCTGCATCTTCATGATGACCACAATTATGTGTTCCAATAGAAGGATGTGAGCACTGTGCGAGTAATGATTCACTTCCTGAACATCCCACATCATCCAACCAGATCTGACCACTACCCTGGCTAAAATGAGCACTGCCATGTGCACTAACAGCTGTTCCACATCCCAGCTGTCTGCACACCACAGCAGCATCATTCATGTCCCAGTCATCATCACACACTGTCCCCCATGTGCCATTATACAGCATCTCAACTCTTCCAGAGCAGTCATTTATACCATTCACCAGTCTGATACTATAATTACCTAAAAAACAACATAACTCCATTATGATACAATTCACATCTTACAACAGGCTAAACTTGTAGACTAGCTAATACAGTGACTGGTTATGTCATGATGCAGCTAGAATAAACTCTGTTTTAAAAATGAGTGACTAACAGTCTGTTACTCACCAGTTACAGAAGTCAGAGCACTGGCTGTTGAGATGAAAAACAGAGACATTTAAACATATTGTAGACTTACAATTAGATATGATTTACCAAATAAAAAACGAATTAGTCATTGTTGTCTCAAACCGATCTCTTGTTTTAATGATGCTCAAGAAGACAACGCCTGCTTTGAGAGATATTTACAAATATGACAGGCTAGCAGTGGTGCCTCTACTGATCATGGTTAAAATAACAGGCAATGCCGTTTACAGGGTGAGGTATAATTTATAATTCTTTATTAAATAGCTCATGACCAATCGGCATAAAGAGTAGCAGCTTTTCAGTCTGCACACATACTGATCACTTGCACTCACATCTTTTCTGAACTCTTGCTTCAGTTTTTTCTTTTTCCCCCCACATAACTCTAGTCACAACAGTCCACAAGACAAAACAATAATAATATGCCAAAGAGCAGGAACATTAGTTCTAGGAACTATTAAAAGGTTCCTCAAGTGCGAGAACCCTGACTGTAAAAAGTCACTTCTTTTTTTACAGCTTTCATATGGTTCTGTGGTCAGCCATAGGTCGGTGTTATTCTTCTTTTTTCAAACTGTTCATAACTCCTTATAGTGTAACAGCTTTGGTGTCTAGATGAGCATGAGAATGTAGTCACTAAGCCATGTGTCACAGTTTTTTGCTTACTAAAAGTTGCAGGCTATTTGAGGCACACTCAGTGAAACCATTTACTTAAATACTGAATCTTCAGACCATGTCTGCAAAACTGCAATCACATCATCTGCTTTACACTCAGTTTGCAACTGTAAAAAAATGCAGTAGTAACAAATTCAAATTCTGCTGTAAAGCAGCTCTAACAAGCCGATATATCATTATACAGTAAAAGAACTTATACTGACAAGAAGTCAAAGCCAATAGAACGTTCCATTACCAAGCAGCAGCCCTACACTTCCGCCATTCTGACGCAGCAGTCGACTAGCTTCCAGTGTTGCCAAACCCTTCCCTCAGAAAATCTCTAGAACCACCCTCAAAAGTCTCCATTTTTCACAAAAAGTCGCCAAATACGAAAACAAAGTAAATACAGGTAAATTTGGTAAAGGTAAAGGAAATATATACTTACAAATGATAACAGTATAAAAAATATAACAAAAGATTAAATATAACAAAAAATTCTGAAGTGAAATTAGGAAATGCTTGTGATCTGCAAGCACATCAAACATGATGGAAATGATGGAAAGACACAAAAGACACAATGTTGGGAATTTGTTTTATGTGTCACCAAAGTGCATCCCTGTCCTGCTCAAATACAAGAGATAAGAGATATTATGATTCTCCAAAAACAAAACCTTTATTCATACAAACTTATTTCAGTCAACACACTCTATTACTACAAAGTAAGTGCAAAATACTGCATCCCAGCACACATGACATGATGATGCACTGTGTCTCTCTCTCAGTATCTGGTTGACATGACTGTGCATGAATTGTGGTAAAACTTTTGTGTCTGTGGTTAAAACAAGATTTTTTCTCTGGCATCTTGATTGATGCTTATAATGAAATTGTGGTGTGCGTCATGGCAGGCGTGGCATACTGGTGTGTTGACTGCGCACTGTGCGCAGACTCATTGGCATGATTGAGAGCAAACGTGAGAGGTCACGGGCCTACAGCAGGGTGTGGCTGAATAAAAAATTAAAAATCTCCAAAAAATCATTAGTTTTATTTAAATATAGCTAAAATAGCTATGGCGACAAAATCCCCAAATTGGCAACACTGCTAGCTTCTAGCTATCACATGAATATATATACATGAATATATATTCAGCTGCATGGCATTCACAAAGAACGGCAGCTGAGCATATAGCAAATGTTTATAAATTATTTGCATATAAAGTAGTTTTTACAGCAGGCTACATGCCACAAATTCTGTAACTGATCAGCAGCTGATTCAAGCTGCCACTGCGAAATGAAGTCCCGCGCGCAAGTCTGTTGCGGCATTGACCTCGGCTGTGGAAAGTGGCAACTGAGCATAAATTACTATATGTATAATGTGTTTAAAATATAGCTTTTACAGTTCAAATATTACCTCAAACTATCTAACTGGTAGCTGATACAAACTTTAAGCCACATTAAGCGTTTTCAAATAATAGTTTTCCATGGGAGGAAAACATCTCGGTTACGTATGTAACCTTGGTTCCCTGAATAGGGGAACGAGATGCTGCGATGATGTCATCGCTTTGGGAACACCTTCGGTGTGAGGAATGTCTGAAGCCCTTATACCATCATGCCAATTAATTGGCCAAATAGCGCTTAGCACCGCCCCCAATGTGCATGTAGGTGAGCTATATAGCGTGCTGCGCACTATTTTCATCAGATTTCACTGATTTACAAAGGAAGCGCTATCAAGGTACGGAACGGCCCAGCATCGCAGCATCTCGTTCCCCTATTCAGGGAACCAAGGTTACATACGTAACCGAGATGTTCCCTCTCATAGGCTCACTTCGATGCTGCAATGACGTCATCGCTTTGGGAACACCTTCGATGTGACGAATGTCTGAAGCCCTTATACCATCATGCCAATTCATTGGCCAAATAGCGCTTAGCACCGCCCCCAATGTGCATGTAGGTGAGCTATATAGCGTGCTGCGTGCTATTTTCATCAGATTTCACTGATTTACAAAGGAAGCGCTATCAAGGTACGGAATGGCCCAGCATCGCAGCATCTCGTTCCTCTATTCAGGGAACCAAGGTTACATACGTAACCGAGATGTTCCCTCTCATAGGCTCACTTCGATGCTGCGATGATGTCATCGCTTTGGGAATGCTATACCATAACGCCTGACGTACCTAGATAGCTAGAAGACCAAGGAAAGCATCTGCTCAAGCGGATAAGACCCGGGAGCCAGGAGCCATCCTTACGTCCAGACTATAAAACTTGATGAATGTGCTAGGAGAGGACCATCCTGCCGCAGCACAAACATCTTCCATCGAGGACCCTTTAAAGAAGGCCTGAGAAGAAGCCACTGCTCTTGTAGAATGAGCACGCACCCCTAGAGGCGAAGTCAAGCCACGCGCCTCATAGGCCAAAGAAATAGCCTCCACTATTCAGTGTGACATCCGCTGTTTAGTGACAGCAGAACCCCTGCTCTTGCCACCAAAACACACAAACAACTGGTCAGATCCACGCCACTGAACCGTGCGGTCGACATAGATCCTAAGTGCCCTAACTGGACAGAGATGCAGGCTAACTGACCCCTCTTCAGCTCGGGAAAAAGCCTCCAGGACCACTTGCAAAGCGAAACGGAGTTGAAGTGACCTTTGGAACATAATCAGGCCTAGGTCGCAAAAAGACTTTAACCAGTCCTGGGGCAAAGTCCATACACGAAGGACTGATGGAGAGAGCCTGTAGATCCCCTACCCTCTTAAGGGAGGCTAAAGCCACCAAAAGAACGGTCTTGATGTTCAAGAGCTTCTCTGACACCGACTCCATCGGTTCAAAGAGATGGCCTGTCAGGCCCTCCAACACGATCGATAAGTCCCAAGAAGGAACTCAGGCTGGGCGGAAAGGCCTAAGCCGTCTCAAACCTTGCATAAAACGTGAGACCAGGGTGTGACGACCAACCGAAACACCTCTTACAAGTGCATGAGTGGCGGGGGTAACCCCTTCAGAGAAACGACTCTGAAGAAACTCCAGTACTGAACCGATAAAGCAGTGGACTGGATCCAAAATGCGCTGTCTACACCAAGAGGCAAAAAGTCTCCACTTGAAAGCATATAAGCGTCTCGTGGAGGGAGCCCCAGAATTCATAATAGTGTCGTGGAGGGAGCCCTAGAATTCATAATAGTGTCGGTAATCTCAGCCGAGAGACCAGAACACATTAGCGCACTCCGCTCAGGGGCCACGCCCATAACCTCCATAAATCCGGTCGAGGATGCCAAATCATGCCCCGAGCTTGCGTCAACAGATCAGACCAGGGTGTGACGACCAACCGAAACACCTCTTACAAGTGCATGTCCCGCCAATATGGCCGTCACGTACACTTTAAGAGTGGCGGGGGTAACCCCTTCAGAGAAACGACTCTGAAGAAACTCCAGTACTGAACCGATAAAGCAGTGGACTGGATCCAAAATGCGCTGTCTACACCAAGAGGCAAAAAGTCTCCACTTGAAAGCATATAAGCGTCTCGTGGAGGGAGCCCCAGAATTCATAATAGTGTCGGTAATCTCAGCCGAGAGACCAGAACACATTAGTGTACTCCGCTCAAGGGCCATGCCCATAACCTCCATACTTCCGGTCGAGGATGCCAAATCATGCCCCGAGCTTGTGTCAACAGATCGTGTCTGAGGGGAACCTCCCATGGAGGGCCCGCTAGCAGACTGACCAGGTCTGAGAACCACGACTGAGTGGGCCACCGTGGGGCCACCAGCAACAGGTGCTTCACTCTTTCTGATCGTATTCTGAATAGGACTGCTGGGAGCAACCGGATTGGGGGAAAAGCATAAAGATTGGTCCTGGGCCATTTGTGGGCCAGAGCATCCAGACCTAGAGGTGACGGGGGTCTCGTGGAGGGAGCCCTAGAATTCATAATAGTGTCGGTAATCTCAGCCGAGAGACCAGAACACATTAGCGCACTCCGCTCAGGGGCCACGCCCATAACCTCCATAAATCCGGTCGAGGATGCCAAATCATGCCCCGAGCTTGCGTCAACAGATCGTGTCTGAGGGGAACCTCCCATGGAGGGCCTGCTAGCAGACTGACCAGGTCCGAGAACCACGATTGAGTGGGCCACCACGGGGCCACCAGCAGCAGGTGTTCCACTCTTTCTGATCGTATTCTGAATAGGACTGCTGGGAGCAACCGGATTGGGGGAAAAGCATAAAGACTGGTCCTGGGCCATTCGTGGGCCAGAGCATCCAGACCTAGAGGCGACGGGGGAGACAGGGAAAACCAAAGCGGGCAGTCGAGAGACCAGAACACATTAGCGCACTCCGCTCAGGGGCCACGCCCATAACCTCCATAAATCCGGTCGAGGATGCCAAATCATGCCCCGAGCTTGCGTCAACAGATCGTGTCTGAGGGGAACCTCCCATGGAGGGCCTGCTAGCAGACTGACCAGGTCCGAGAACCACGATTGAGTGGGCCACCACGGGGCCACCAGCAGCAGGTGTTCCACTCTTTCTGATCGTATTCTGAATAGGACTGCTGGGAGCAACCGGATTGGGGGAAAAGCATAAAGATTGGTCCTGGGCCATTTGTGGGCCAGAGCATCCAGACCTAGAGGTGACGGGGGAGACAGGGAAAAACAAAGCGGGCAGTGCGTAGTCATGCTCGAAGCGAACAAGTCCACTTCCGCGCGGCCGAACCTCTGCCATATAAGATCCACCACCTGGGGGTGCAATCTCCATTCCCCATCCTGCAGACTCTGTCTCGAGAGCAGGTCCGCTCCTGAGTTCAGACAACCTGGGATATGGACTGTACTGATCGACAGGAGCTTTGTCTGAGCCCAGAGAAGAACACGCCTCGCCAGCCTGCACAGGGGGCGAGAACATAATCCCCCTTGACGATTGAGGTACGACACAACTGCTGTGTTGTCCGTCCTGACTAACACGTGATAACCCCTTAACTGGGGTAAGAACTGTTCGAGAGCCAGGAGAACCGCAAGCATCTCCAAACGATTTATGTGCCAGCCACGATGTACCTCTGTCCAGACTCCCCAGCCCGTAAGGGATGACCGTCATGACCGTCTTGCGGCAAGACAACGTCCCCATCTGGACTCCTTCCAGAAGGAACTGGGGTCTCATCCACAGACTTAGAGTACGAAAGCCCTTGCGTGTCACCGTAATTTTGCGAAGCGGATGACAGTGATGTGAAATGTTCTGGGTCTTGGTCCACCACTGAAATGGTCGCATGTGAAGCAGGCCCAACTGAACTAGAGGGGACGCCGCCGCCATCAGACCCAACAGCCTGAGACACAAGCCTACATGTACTCGGCGCCCTGTCTTGAACTGACCTAGACAGGTCCGTATTGACTGCACACGAGCAGGAGACAGCTGTGCCCGCATCGTGCAAGAGTCCAAGTCTACCCCAAAAAGGTTGTTTGCCGACACGGTAGCAGGACACTCTTTTGAGGGTTTGTCCATAACCCTAGGCTCCTCAGATGATCGAGTACCAGATCTCGATGTATCCGTGCCTGATCCTGAGATTGAGCTA